CTCCCCCCCCTCAGCCCCCCATATCCCCCCTCAGGTCCCCAAATCCCCCCTCAGGCACCAATATCCTCCCCCAAGGCACCCATATCCCCCCCCAGGCACCCATATGCCCTCTAGGCACCCATATCCCCCCCCTCAGGCACCTATATCCCCCCTGCCCCAAGGGTGGGTGCTGCCTGGGTAAGGAGAGGGGCTTAACCCAGGCCACTCGATTTTTTGGGGTACCCCTAAATAGGAGCTTGGGGCATCGCGGGTGGACCAGGAGCACAGCCCAAACACTGCTCATGCCCCCGACCATGTCCCAGGATGGGGACGTTGTCCCCCCAACCCTGGGCTGGGGACCGGGGCCGTGGGTCACAGCATCCCTGAGGCACGGGCCATCCCCACGTACCCACCAGGGATGGGGTTCTACCAGTCTTGGTGGCGTTTCCCCACCTCTGGCTTGGCCAGAAGGTGGACGCTGGGGCAAAACTGCCCAACTATGGGGGGGGCTCAGACCCCCAGGTCCCACCCTGGGGGTGTCACCACCCAGGAACATCACTGAAAGTGTCACCCAGTGGGTGCCTTGTAGGTTTTATGAGAAGGTCCAGGCACTGCACCAAGACCCCAAGGCCTCGGTGGACAACCCCTTGCTGGCCTTCAGCCTCATCAAGCGTCTCCACTCCGACTGGCCCAACGTCATCTACAGCAACGAGGCCACCGAGAACATCCAGGGTACGGGGGGCATGCTCAGCTCCGTGTCCTCTGTGTCAGCTGGGGAGAGCTGGGAGGTGACGGGGACCGGGTGGAGGAGCAGGGGAATGGGTGGAGGAGCAGCAGGTGGAGTCCTCAGGGATGGAGAAGGGCTGATAAGGGCGACTGCACCCCAAAAGCTCATTAATCCCCCTCCATGCACCCCGTTACCCGCCCTCAGCGCTCCATGCCGACTTCAAGGAGGTGGAGCAGGAGCTGCCTGGAGCTGAGGACCTGGACGGGGCTGCCCGGGCACTGATGCGGCTGCAGGATGTCTACGCACTCAGTGTCAAGGGCATGGCCAACGGCGTCTTCCAGCGAGCCGGCGCCGGCCGCCCGCCCCTCTACAGCCCTGGCCGGCGCATCTCCCTCTCCGCCGATGACTGCTTCCACGTGGGCAAGGTGAGGGCGAACCCCGACAGCCTCCTACAAAGCTTTTCCAGGCTAGAATGTTGCTTCCATAGGGATAGACATTGGGTTTTCTTTCCGCTTGGATGCGGAGGGGCCCCTCTGACTCAGCCCGCAGGCATCCGCCCGCCCGCCTGCCTCTCGCCTCTCGGCTCTCGCCCAAGTAACGGGGCTTCTTGCTGCTTCGTGGCTTGGGGAAGGGAAGAGCCAAGCTGGTGGGCTGGGGGAGACCTCCTGCCCCAGCATTCCGGCTGGATACGCGGTCGGCCCCTGCCCGGGGGTAAAAGTGGGTCCATAAATCCCTGGGAAGGGATTTGGGTGCTTTGATAGAGGTTTTTGTTCAGGGCAGAGTCCTCTGAGTGTCACCGCAGAGCTGGGATGGAGTGTTGGAGTGTGGGATGGGATGGCATGGCATGGCATGGCATGGCATGCGGTGAGGTGGAGGTGGAGGTGGGGATGGAGATGGAGATGGAGATGGAGATGGAGATGGAGATGGAGATGGGGATGGAAATGGGGATGGAAATGGGGATGGAAATGGGGATGGAGCAGGATGGATGGGGATGGGAGAGGAAAGGAAGGGATGAGACAGGATGGGGATGGCGTGGGAGGGAGTGGGGATGGGGATGGGAATAGGAAAGCAACAGGATGTGATGGGACAGGATGGGTGGGAATTGCAATGGGATAGGATGACGTGGCATGGGGATGGAATAGAATGGGATGCAATGAGATGGGACAGGACAGGATGAGACAGGGGAGGGACAGGATGGGAGGGGATAGGGGTGGGATTGGGATGAAGATGGTCATGGGGGTAGGAGGATGAGAAGGGGACGGGATGGGATGGGATGGGATGGGATGGGATGGGACAGGGTCACGGGCGACTACTACCACTCCATCGCGTGGCTGGAGGAGGCCGTCAGCCTCTTCCGCCTCTCCTATGGCAACTGGAACCCCGAGGACCGGAGCAGCCTGGAGGATGCTCTGGACCATCTTGCCTTCTCCTACTTCATGGTACGGCCGTGAGTCCCATCCCCATCACCCTGGTGCCCGGTGGAGCCAAACCGTGGGCAAGGGGATGCTCATGGGCTCTCCACTCCCCCCATCCAGGCTGGAAACATCTCCCATGCCTTGAGCCTCTCCAGGGAGTTTCTCCACTATGGTACGTGGGGCAACCTCGGATACAGCAGGAGGAGGCAAGAGGTTTTGGGGTGTCACCATCACCTCTGCACGGCACCAGCCTCCTTCACCCCATTTCTTGCCCCCATGTGGGGTAATTCTCCAGGGACCGATGCCAGGGAAGGGGGGGTGATGGGGACATGGCGTTTCGGGTGACATCGCCTCTCTGGCAGACCCCAGTAACCAAAGGGTGGTGAGGAACGTGGCCAAGTACGAGAAGCTGCTGGAGATGGGGACGGCGGTGAGCACCGGACCCCTGCGACGCCCCAACGGCACCCACCTGCAGAGCCGCGACGCCTACGAGGAGCTGTGCCAGCGCCCGGCGGGGCAGGTGGGGCTGGCAGGGGGGTCCCATGGTCCCCCACCCCACTGCTGTCCCCCCTTTCACTCCCTCCTTGGTCCTCTCTCTCCCCAGCCAGCCCCAGAGCATCTCCCACAACTTGGCTGCTCCTACGAGACCAACGGCAGCCCCTACCTCCTTCTCCAGCCTGCCAAGAAGGAGATGGTCCGGATCCGACCCTACGTGGCTTTGTACCACGATTTCATCAGCGACACCGAGGCTGAGACCATCAAGGGGTTGGCAGGGCCCTGGGTGAGCCGTCCCCATCCCCAGGGATGTCCCTCTCCTGGAGGAGGGTGGCCCAAGAGCTGGTGGTCGAGGGTGGACCACCCTGAGCATGCAGAGATAGGAGAGGTTTTAAGCCAGGGCTCAGCCAAAGCCATCTGCAGTGAGACCTGGGGGGGGGGGGATAAGCCCAGCTTAGCTCCATCTGAGTCCCCCCAAAAGATTTTGGAGAGAAACCAGGTCCATGCATGCACCTAAACCCCTTCCCAGGCAGGCTTGACTTGGTGACACCCAACTGCGTTGGCTCCAGCTGCTAGCACTGCTTCCATCACCCCGGTGGGACACCTTGGGGTGGGGATTTTTGGCAACCAACTGGTATAAACCCCCCAGTTTGGACCCTGCCCGGGGTCCCTGCTTGGTGTGGGGGTCCCCATCTGCAGCAATGTCCCCCCCACCATGTGTCCTCCAGCTGCAGAGGTCCGTGGTCGCCTCTGGAGAGAAGCAGCAGAAAGCCGAGTACCGGATAAGCAAGAGGTAGTACCCACCCCGTCCCTTGTCCTCCAGCCAGCGGGACCACCATGGTCCCGTTGCCACCACCAAGGTGGCAGTGAAGCCATGCTGGGGAGGCCTGGGTCCTCCACACCCAGCAATGCCGCGAGGGTTAAGCCCAGCCACGCGTGAATTTGGGGGGGCTGAAGGTGGGGTGCTCCCGCAGCGCCTGGCTGAAGGACACTGCTGACCCGGTGGTGCGGGCGTTGGAGCAGCGCATCGCTGCCGTCACCGGCCTGGACCTGCGGCCACCCTACGCCGAGTACCTGCAGGTGGTCAACTATGGGTTGGGAGGCCACTACGAGCCACACTTCGACCACGCCACGGTCAGGGAGCTGCTGGGGTGGTCCGCGGGGTGGTGCCCAGGGGGGTTCCTGTGGTGCTCTTGGGATGGTCCTTGGGGCGATCCTGGGATGGTTCCTGGGGTGGTCTCTCAGGTGGTCACCAGGGTGGTCCCTGGGGTGGTCTCTGGGCTGGTCCCTCAGATGTTCCTGGGGGTGGTCCCTGGGGTGGTCCCTGGGCTGGTGCCCAGAGGGGTCCCTGGGGGGTCCCTGGGGTGGTCCCTGGGCTGGTCCCTCATGTTCCTGGAGGTGGAGCCTGGGGTGATCCCTGGGATGCTCCTGGGATGGTTGCCTGGGGGAGGTCCCCAGACAGGGGTGTCCCCATGGTGATCCCTGGGATGTTCCTGGGAAGGGAGGGAGGGAAGAGGGAATGAAGGAGGGAGGGAGAGAAAAGAAGGGAGAGGGAGAGATTTCCCTGGGGGCAGCTCAGAGCCACCAGCTCTGTTAGGGCGTGAGGTGCCTCCGAGCTGAGCCGTGCCAGCGTGGGACTGACCGTCCCCACCTCCTCGCTCTTGGGGCAGTCCAGGAAGAGCCCCCTTTACAGAATGAAGTCGGGCAACAGGATCGCCACGGTCATGATCTACGTGAGTCCCCCCCATCTCCTGACCTAGAGAGACTGCACTTGCAGGGGCATCAGTAGGGTTCAGAGTGAACGGGGTTGGAGATGGGTGAGGGCAGCCCTAAATCAGCCCATGGTGGGGTGTTAAACGACATCTGCAGCGTATTTATGAGCGCGGGAAGCGCTGTGGGGGACCAAGGGAGGTTCTGTGCCTCAGTTTCCCCATGCAAAGCAGCCGTATCACAGGGGGAGGGCTGTGGCTCATATTTTTCCTCCTTTTCCAGCTGAGTGCGGTGGAGGCCGGCGGCTCCACCGCCTTCGTCTATGCCAACTTCAGCGTGCCCGTGGTTAAGGTGAGGGGGACCCGCACGAGCCCCCTGGGAGCGGGGAACTGAGGACGCTGCTCTCGTGTCTCGCCTCAGGGAGTTGTGGCCGAGCCTGTCCCGATGCCAAACCCCAACCCCAGGGCTCCCTGATCTGTTTTGGGGTGCCAAACCCCAGCCCTGGGGCTCCTGGCTCCCTTCGAGGGGTGCCAAACCCGGCTCCCGCAGCTCCCGGCTCTGTTTTGGGGGTGACAAACCCTAACCCTGGGGCTCCCGTCTGTGTTTTGGGATGCCAAAATCCAATCTCAGGGATCCCAGCTCTGTTTTGGGGTGCCAAAACCTCAACCCCAGGGCTCCCAGCTCTGTTTTAGGGGTGTCACACCCCAGCCCTTGGGCTCCTGGCTCTGTTTTGGGGTGCCAATCCCAATTCCGGGGATCCTGGCTGTTTTGGGGTTCAAAACGCCAATTCTGGGGCTCCTAGCTCTGTTTTGGGGTTCCAAACCCCATCCCTTGGGCTCCTGGCTCTGTTCTGGGGTGCCAAACCCCAATCCCAGTGCTCCCAGTTGTTTTGGGGTGCCAAACCCCAACTCTGGGGCTCCCAGTGCTGTTTTGGGGTGCCAAACCCCAACCCCAGGGCTGTCAGCTTTGTTTTGGGGTTCCAAACCCCAATTCTGGGGCTTCCAGCTGTTTTGGGGTGCCAAACCCCAACCTCAGAAATCTTGACTCTGTTTTGGGGTTCAAAACCCCAATTCTGGGGTTCCCAGCTCTGGTTTGGGGTTCCAAACCCCAGTTCTGGGGCTCCCAGCTCTGGTTTTGGGGTGCCAAACCCCGGGGCTCCCACCCCCTCTCTGCTCGGCAGAACGCAGCTCTCTTCTGGTGGAACCTGCGGAGGAACGGGGACGGTGACGGGGACACCCTGCACGCTGGCTGCCCCGTCCTGGCGGGGGACAAGTGGGGTGAGAGACGCTGGCTGGTGCCACCCTGAGGTGACACGGGGTTGGAGGGGCCGCTCTGCCAGCGGGGAGGCGAGAGGTGCTGGGAAGCCAGAAAAATCCTGGATAATAGGGAAAAAAATGTCACCGATAGCGGAGTGGGGTCGGAGAGGGGTGCAGGGGGACAGAGGCAGACAGGAGTCCTTGTCCTTGTCCCTTCCAGTGGCGAATAAGTGGATCCACGAGCACGGGCAGGAGTTTCGGCGGCCGTGCAGCACAGACCCACGAGACTGAGCCGCCGTGGGCTCGAGGACGTGGCACCCGTGGGTGGAAAAGCCACCCCGGCGCAGCGTGTCCCCAAGGCTGCAGCAAGAGGAGGGAGGGGAAGGGGGTGGCAGCGGCGCGGGGTGCTATCGGGGGCGGTGGCACTTGCTCAGCCACGGCTGAATCCGGTGAAAATAAAGTCAAAAGACACTAAAGCGGAGTCCGGGGGAAATACCTCGGTGTGGTACCTGGCGGGGTGATGGGGAGGGGGTGTATGTGTCTGCACCCCCGATGCCAGCCTGGACCCTAAACGTACCCTCAAGCCTCCTCCTCCAGCCCTAGACAAAAATTCTCTCTGCTAAAAGGAGTGGCAGAAATGACATGGCATTTCTATGGTAATCAGTAGGCTTCAGAGTGAACAGAATGGCCATCGAGGACCAGCACAAAGACAGTACACTCTCCTTCCTCAAACCAACCTGCCGCAGCACCTGGCTGCATCTTGGGCCTGATTGTGCAGCCCCACACTCCGCTCTCCTCCCGACCACAGCACGGGGTCCCCCTCCTCTGCACCCCAGAAGGGTTTGGGGGTTTATTTTTTGCAGGGCAGTCGCTGTGAGAGGGCCCTTGGGGAGGGAGAAGGCAGCCGCTGCCTTCCCGCCGCCCTGGCCCTCAGCCCGGCCACGCTTGCGCGAGCACCGCTCCCCGGGGCCCCCCCAAACAAGCTCCCTTTCTCCGGCCGGACCGCAGCCACCTGCGTGACTGGAAGGCAAAAAAAGGCAGCAGGGCTCTCCGGCAGCGCCTGGAGATCGGGCAGGGAGCCTGTGCCGCTCTCCCTGGGCGCTTCCGATGGCGGAGAGCCCGGATAAAGCGAGGGTCAAGCTGGAGGACACCATCAGCCCCCGTATCGAAACTCTCCGACTCCACATCCAGCCAGCCTCGTCTATGCTGAGATTAAACGGATGAGATTAAAATCCTCCGGGATGGATGAGATTAAAATCCTGGATGGAGAGGCGGTGGGTACCGCAGCCCGGGGAGGGGCCGGGGAGGCTCTCAGCCTCTTTGCTAACTGGAAGGCAAAGGACAAGAAGTGAGGAGGGGGATAGAAACACCAGGCAGGGCTCTCCTGCTCGCTTTGGGTTCAAAAATGGGCATTTATCTCTCCGTGGCTGCATTTATCCAGCCCCGGATTAACGTGCCATAGGCACACAGGGGCTGAGCTGTGAGCAGGATTTGGGCACGGCAGCAGGAGCGGGAGCACGGGGCTCCAGCCCCCCGCCCTAGGAGGACGCCTGCAAAATTTCAGAGCAAATTTCCCCCGATGCCTGCTCTTCAGATCAGAACACCAAGGCCAGCGCTCAGGGTGTTACAGGACGGAGGGTCCGACGCAGCACAGGTCACGGAAGAGCCAGAGCGCCAGGGTTTATTACTTTCAGATGTTTCTGTACACGTGGGAGCCAGCGGTCACGGAGAAGAGGGGGAAAAAGCAAAAGCTGTGGGTAAAACATCCCCCTCCTCCCCACGCTGGCGGGCCGAGAAGGGATGGGGGAATATTTCGGATGATGAGAGGCTTCTGTGAGTCACCAGAAAAACCCAAGGCTTGGGCCTGGGCCTGGCGCAGGAGCAGCCGGATCTGCAGGATCCACAGGAGCCCGAGTACCGCAGCTGAAGGGAAAGGAGGAGTTCCTACCCCAGGCTGTGCACAAATGCTTTATTTGTAGGCGAGAGAAACGGGCATCGAACAAGACACGAACAGGATGAGGCTGACACGAGACACAGCGCGTGGCCTCCGGAGAACTGACGCGCACGCGCACACACACAATTTTCCTTTTGGAAACAGCAACACATGGTAAGAGGTCACCCCGCCAGAGTGGTAAAGCCTGGCCTAAACTGGCCAAGCATCCCCCAGCAAAGCTATCCCGCAGGTTTGGGATGCCTTACGGACAAGGTGGCGAGGGTGCAGCGTTACCGGACGGATCAGGGCAGCCGACGCAGGCGAGGGAGGCAGGTTTGGGCAACGCAAACGGCAGTTTCGGGTTGTGAACAGCGCGCCAGGCTGGGAGAGAGGTGTTATAATGCACCAGGGCCAAGTTTTCTTGGAAACGGCAACCCATAAACTATTTTTTTTTTTACCTTAGCTGAAGATCTAAGGTCTAGGTTTTCAGGAGGGTTGAGCACCAGTACAAACCAGTGAATGGCCGATTGCCAGCCAGCTCTGCGGATCTCTCCTCCCAGACCCTTCCACACCCAAGATAAAAGGCAACAGCGGAGGGGAGGAGAAACTCCTCCTAAAGTTGAGGAGGTGGAGAACGTCAGCACAAAGCTGTTTGCTCTCTCCTGCTCCAGTGCCTGCCAGCTGCTCCCCCGCTCGCTGGAGACCCCGTTGAACGTGGCAACACACCGATAAAGGTTTCCGAGTCCTGGGACGGTCTCGCTGAACGAGGAGCCAGCAAGCGGCTTTGCCCTATCGCCATCGCTCAGCCCTGCCCTGCAGAGAGAGGAAAAGCAAGGAGGTTCACTCTGAGCTGCCCCAGCACAGTATTTACTGGGTGACTGGTGTCACCAGCGGGATCCGTCACACCACCACCACCTCTCAGAGCTGAACTGAGCTCGCGGTCGGGAAAAAGTCACTCTGTGCTTTACAGCAGTGCTTATTTTTTTTTCAGACGGTGTCTTGGTTGCACAGAAAGTGACCTCCAGTCGCAACAAGCATCGGCATCTTTAATTGGCTTTGGTAGCGCATCCCACTCACTTCCCATCTGGACTGGGGCAGGCTGGAGACAAAAAAGACAAGGCTCAAAAAAAAAAAAAAAAAAAAAAAACCCCCCAAAAACAAAGGGAATTGGGAA